CTTTCTGGGTACAGAAATGTGTTTTGTGCAATACAAACCAGCCTTTGCTACACAGGAAGGTTTTGTATTTGAGTTGGCACCATCGTATCGTATTTATAATTTCTATTCAGAAGTTTATTCAGATTTAGCATCCATTTGCAAGAATCCTTCATCAAATTGGAAAGTTTGGCATGACCTCCTCCTCCTCCTCCTTCCCTTTCTTCTTCTTCTTCTTCTTCTTCTTCTTCTTCTTCTTCTTCTTCTTCTTCTTCTTCTTCTTCTTCTTCTTCTTCTTCTTCTTCTCCTCCTCCTCCTCCTCCTCTTCTCCTTCTCCTTCTGCTTCTGCTTCTGCTTCTCCTCCTCCTCCTTCTTCTTCTTCTTCTCCTCCTCCTCCTCCTTCTCTTTCTTCTTCTTCTTCTTCTTCTTCTTCTTCTTCTTCTTCTTCTTCTTCTTCTTCTCCTCCTCCTCCTCCTCTTCTCCTTCTGCTTCTCCTTCTTCTCCTTCTTCTCCTTCTTCTTCTTCTTCTTCTTCTTCTTCTCCTCCTCCTCCTCCTCCTTCTTCTTCTTCTTCTTCTTCTTCTTCTTCTTCTTCTTCTTCTTCTTCTTCTTCTTCCTTCTTCTTCTCCTCTTCTTTCTTCTTCTTCTCCTTCCTTCCTTCCTCCTCCTCCTTCTCCTCCTCCTCCTCCCTTTCTTCCTGACCTTCCTTCTTCTTCCTTTTCCTCACACATCCCCATGTCACCTGATCAAAATTCAGGCACTTGGCAACTGGCATGTATTTACCATAGCTGCGCTGCATCAAGGCCACGTAATCCCCATTTGTCACCTTCCCAACTGGCTTTGGACAAGCAAAATCAATGGTGTAAGCCAGATTCACTTAACAACTGCATAATTCACTTGTGATTTGCTTAGCGGCAAAAATGGTCATAGAGTGGAGCCAAACTCAATGAACAACTACCTTGCTTAGCAATGGAAATTTGGGGCTCAGCGTAGACAAGAGTAAAATCTCACACTTAGGCAAGGAAAACCAAAAGGATGCATATGGATTGGGTGAAACCAGGCTTAATAGCAGCAACGGTGAGAGGGATCTTGGAGTCTTAATGGGCAATCAATTAAATATGAGCCAACAGTGGGCAGCAGCAGCAGCCAAAAAAGCCAATGCAATCCTAAATTGAGTTAACAGAGGGATAGAATCAAGATCACGTGAGGTACTAATATCACTCTTTAAAGCCTTTGTAAGGCCACATCTAGAATCCTACAACCAGTTCTGATCACCACCATGTAAAAAAGATGTTGAGACTCTAGAAAAAGTGCAGAGAAGAGCAACAAAGATGATCAGGGGACTGGAGCCTAAAACATATGGAAAAACGGTTGCAGGAACTGGGCAGGGCTAGTCCAGTGAAGAGAAGAACCAGGGAGACATGACGGCAGTGTTCCAATATTTCAGGGGCTGTCATAGAGAGGAGGGGGTCAACCTATTTTCCAAAGCACCTGAAGGCCAGGCAAGGAATAACGGATGGAAACTGATTAAGGAGAGATTCAACCTGGAAATAAGGGGGAATTTCTGGACAGTGAGAAGAATCAACCAATGGAACAGAAGTTGCCTTCAGAAGTTGTGGGAACTTCATCACTGGAGGTTTTCAAGAAGAGACTGGCCATCCGTCAGAAATGGTGTAGGGTCTCCTGCTTGGGCAGGTGTGTGTGGACTAGATGACCTACAAGGTCCCTTCCAACTCTGTTATTCTATTTGAGATTCTATTCTGTTGGAGTTGTGGCCGAATGTTGAAGACTACCTGTAGTTAGTGGGACTCAACAGCAAAAATACCTTTTTAAAAAAACCAACAAACAGTGACCTCTGACTAATAAGGGAGACACTTAACCTTCTCCAAGAAACTCATAGACTAAAGAATGGTAGTGTTGACTTCCATTTGCCAACCCATAAGGAGCCCTGAGCTGTACAAAGGTTGTTGCGTAAGGTTAAAATGCACCAGGAAACGTGTGCTCGAATTAATGAAGGGAAAAAGGACAAGGAAACTGGACTCAATAAATGCCCTGGGTTCCCCTCTCGCATCTTCCAGGCAGATATAAATTCTATACCTTTGACAGCTGTATGCAACAAAATCTCATTGTAATGTATTAATCTACTTTTAAAGTGACAATAAGTTATTGTTCTGTTATGTTCTGTTCTGTTCTATTCTATACTCTGTATTCTATTCTATTCTATTCTATTCTATACTATAGTATACTATACTCTGCATTCTATTCTATTCTATTCTATTCTATTCTATACTCTGCATTCTACTCTATTCTATTCTACTCTATTCTACTCTACTCTCTCTGCATTCTATTCTATTCTATTCTATTCTCTGCATTCTATTCTATTCTCTGCATTCTATTCTATTCTATACTCTGCATTCTATATTCTATTCTACTCTACTCTACTCTCTCTGCATTCTATTCTATTCTATATGCATTCTGTTCTATAATATTCTATTCTATTCTATTCTATTCTCTGCATTCTATTCTATTCTATACTCTGCATTCTACTCTATTCTAATCTACATTCTATTCTATTCTATTCTATTCTATTCTATTCTATTCTATTCCATTCCATTCCATTCCATATTCTATTCTATTCTATTCCTACAAAAGCTTTGCATGAGACACCAGGAAAGCCTTGTGCTCAATGGGGCCAATTTTATTAGCTTGGCTTGTAGACCATAAAAAACCCTGAGCAATCTTGGCCTGGCCCTCTGTCTTCCATGAATAGACATGGGATAAAGGAGGGATTAAACTACAGGCAGTCCTTGATTGACAACAGTCCACTGAATGACTGTTCAAAGTTACAACGGGCACTGAAAAAAAGGGATTTATGATCATTTTCCACCCTTAGGACCGACGCAACGTCCCCACAGTCATGTGATTTGCGTGCGGATGCTTGGCAACAACTGACTCCTCTTTATGATGGCCGTGCAGTCTCCCCGGAGTCACGCGATCCTCTTTTGCGACATTATGACAAGCAAAAAGTCAAGGGGAAAAACTAGATCCACTTAACAACTGTGGGGCTAATTTAATTTAACAACTGCTGTGGTTCACCTAACAAATGCAGCGAGGGAAGTCGTAAAACGGGGCAAAACCTGCTTAACAAATGTTTCCCTTGGTGACATAATGTTTGGGCTTAATTATGGTCGTTAAGGTGAGGACTACCTTGCTGTATCAAGTCCCCATAAGCTGCAATGAGATAAAAATAATATCAAGTCCCCATAAGCTGCATGCAAACTTTTTTTCCGAGGGACCCAGGATTAGGAATACATTGTTTCCCCCCTTAATAATTAGCTGGCTTTCCAACAGGCAATCTCCAAAAATAGCCCCTGGGTAGAGTAGCAGCTGATATTTGGCCTGCAATAAAATGACAGCAAGGGAGTGGATTAGATTCCCCCTAAACCGGATTTCTGTACAACAAAGCCAGCCAAAACAGGAACGAGTCGAAGTCACAACATTATGAAGAGCTACAGAAGGTACGCACCAGCAATTCTTTGGTTGGGCCTTCAGTTCCAGAAAGAAACCAGGAAACAAACACACAAACACACCCACACACACACACACAAACTGCAAGAGTTGGACAATCCCCCAGATTGTGAAAAATGTTTTCTGCCTCTCACTATATTATGCCTCCAAGAAAGAAAGAAAGGAAGGGAGGGAGGGAGGGAGGGAGGGAGGGAGGAAGGAAGGAAGGAAGGAAGGAAGGAAGGAAGGAAGGAAGAAAGAAAGAAAGAAAGAAAGAAAGAAAGAAAGAAAGAAAGAAAGAAAGAAAGAAAGAAAGAAAGAAAGAAAGAAAGATCCCCTCCCCTTTCAGATCTTTGGCCAAAGTTGGCTAGTTTGTGTTTTCCCATGTTTGGCAAACTCGAGTTTTTGGTGTCCTGTTTAAAAAAACTAAACAAAAACAAAACAAGAAATCTGGCATAGAGTTTCCTGCCTCAACAGGGGGTTGGGCTAGATGACCTCCAAGGTCCATTATTATTATTATTATTATTGTTGTTGTTGTTATTATTATTATTGTTATTGTTTAAATAAATAAATCAAAAACCCAACAAGGAAGCTGAGCCTACAAACTCTCGGTGACAGAGGAGAGCTCTGGGGGGGGGGAGGGAAGGGGCGCACGTTGACGACCCTGGCTGGCCCCAGTTCCTCCCGGGCTGCTGTTCGCCCGGTAAAGCCAGCAGGGCTCCGGGGCTGCTGCAAAAAACCTGCCCGGGCAAAGGGCGGCGAGGAGGCTCCGCGCTGTTTCTCCGCCCAAGGCGGCTGCTGGCAGCGCTCCCGCCTCGCCCAACAGCCTTGTTTGCCTGGAGGGGCCGCTGGGCCGGGGTGGGGGAGGGAGGGAGAGGAAGGGAGGAACCTCTTGCGCTCCGGAGGCGCCCCGACCCCCAAAGCGGGCTGCGCTGTCCAGGGTCCCCGGCCTTGGCTCGGCCCCAGCCACCGCCGCCCTTGCCAGCTTGCCTGCCTGCCTGCCTGCTTTCTTGCTGTCTGTCTGTCTTCTTGTCTGTCTCTCTGCCCGCCTGTCTGTCTTCTTGCCTGTCTACTTGTCTGTCTTCTTGCCTGTCTACCTGTCTTCTTGCCTGTCTACCTGTCTGTCTTCTTGCCTGCCTGCCTGCCTTCTTGCCTGTCTATCTGTCTGTCTTCTTGCCTGCCTGCCTGTCTTCTTGCCTGTCTACCTGTCTGTCTTCTTGCCTGCCTGCCTGTCCACCTGTCTGTCTTCTTGCCTGCTGTCTGTCTGCCTGTCTTCTTGCCTGTCTGTCTGTCTTCTTGCTTGCTTGCTGTCTGTCTCCCTGTCTGTTTGCCTGCCTGCTTGTCTGTCTGTCTGCCTGCCTTCTCGCCTGTCTGTCTGTCTGTCTGTCTTTCTTGCCTGCTGGCTGTCTGTCCGTCTGCCTGCTTGCTTGCCTGTCTTCTTGTCTGTCTGTCTGTCTCTGCTTGCCTGCCTGCCAGCCAGGCTCCGGAGTCCAAGCACCCGATCCCGCCGCCCCTTACCTGGCAAGCGAGGCTCCAGCCCCGGGGGTGCCGGATTTGGAAGGAGGGCGGCCCGGGGGGGGGGGCGGAGGGCAGAAGCAGCAGCAGGAGCTGGAGGAGCGGACGCCTCTTCCCGGCCGGGCGCAAAGTCCTTTCCCAGCCGCGGCTCGTTTCGTCCCCCCTGCCTGCCTTCCTTCCGGAACGAAAGCGAAGATCGGCGGGGCCCCGAGGCGGAGCCTCTCGCCTCCTCCGCCTTCTTCCCGGTCTGGCGGGGGAAGTCGGCCGCCCCCGCGCGCCCTTCTCGCTCCCTGCGCGAAGATCCGGCTTGGAAAGCGGAGGAAGGAGCCGGGCTTCCCCGATCTAGGTCTCGCCTCCCCTGGGCGCGGGCATCGGCGCCTGGCCTGGCCTTGGAGAGCCCAAAGCGCTCCCTTTAAAGAAATGAAAAATAAAATGAACAATAGGGCCGTTAGCCCAATGCCTGAGGGGGGGATCCCCATGGCTATCTCCCCAACAATGAAGGAGGCTCTTTGTAGCTCAGGGTTGTTGTTGTTGTTGTTGTTGTTGTTATTATTATTTTGGATCATCGCGCAGTCAGCCAGATGTTCAGACTGGATTTGGCATTTTGTCTACCTATCGAGTCCTTACCCAGGACCTGGGATAGGCAGATGTAGATGTTTGATGGTATTACAGGTATCGTCGCAGGATGGAAGCAGTTGTTTATTATTATTATTATTATTATTATTATTATTATTATTATTATTATTATTTTGGATCATCGTGCAGTCAGCCAGATGTTCAGACTGGATTTGGCATTTTGTCTACCTATCGAGTCCTTACCCAGGACCTGGGATAGGCAGATCTGGATGTTTGATGGTATCGTCGCAGGATGGAAGCAGTTCCTAATAAGGCCGCCTTTTGCAATTGACTAATAGCGAATTTGTCAATGCCGATCCGATGATGGTGTCCAAGTGGTGCTCCAGTTGTTTTGGGATTGCACCCAAGGCGCCTATGACTATTGGTACTACCCTTGCTTGCTTTTGCCACAGTCTTTCTATTTCTATTTGTAGGTCTTTGTATTTTGTTATCTTCTTCAGTTCTTTCTCTTCTATTCTGCTATCTCCAGGCACTGCCACGTCCACTATCCAGACTTTTTTGTCTTTCTTATCGACAATTGTTAAGTCTGGGGTGTTATGTTGCAGGTGCTTGTCTGTTTGAATTCTGAAGTCCCAGAGCAGTTTAATTTTATTATTTTCTATGACTTTCTCTATTTTATGATCCCACCAGTTTTTGCTTACAGGCAAATGATATTTTTTGCAGATCTTCCAATGCACCATTGTTGCTACTTTGTCATGCCGCTGCTTGTAGTCAGTCTGTGCAATCTTCTTGCAACAGCTTACCAAGTGTTGTTGTTGTTGCTGCTGTTGTTGTTGTTATTAACCCTGAGCTACAAAGAGCCTATAATAATAATAAAGTTGGAAGGGACCTTGGAGGTCATCTAGTCCAATCCCCTGCTCAGGCAGAAAACTCTATACCATTTTGAACAAATGGCTGTCCAGTCTCTTCTTAAAAGTCCTTGAAATGTGGGGTCCTTGGTGCTCTCGGAGCTGGCTTGTTTTCTGGCAGACGTTTCATGACCTAACTAGGTAACATTATCAGTGTTAGAAGGGAGTGGGAGGGAGGAGAGGAGGAGGAGGAGGACTGTGGGGTCCTTGGTGCTCTTGGAGCTGGCTTATTTTCTTGGCCCACGTTTCATTTACCCAAACTAACTAACATCACTAGCACTTACTCTTACCTAGTTTGGTTAACGAAACATCTGCAAGAAAACAAGCCAGCTCCGAGAGCACCAAGGACTCCTGATATCTCCTCAAGAAGCCCAGTTAGGTCATTAGACATATTGGTAAAGGGGGACATTATTTCCAGAGCCAACCTGAAAATAAGGAATTTCCTCAACATCTTGTTTACATCATGGTGGTTAATTTTGTTGTGAGTTGCACAGTGACTATAAAGATATTCCATGCCTGCCAACTACATTTAACACGCCCGTTCAATTTCCTTTATTGCATCACCTTCCATTGGATAAAGAATATTTTTCTTCTGGCTTTTTTTTTTATTAAAAGTTTTACAAAAATTACAAAATGAAACCTTAAGGGTCCATTCTTCTATAGTTGGCAAGGAATCTTTCTTCCAATATTGTCTTACCAATAGCCTTCTGTTATTAAATTCAACATCAAATTGGTTTCCTTAACATCAAAATCTACAATAATACCCAACAAAAATAGTTGAGGAGTAAACTTTATCTTTCTTTTAAAAATATTTTGAATGTTCCACCAAATTTTAATCCAAAAAGCTTTTATATTTCTACAAGTCCACCAAATATGAAAGTAAGTTGCATCCAAACAACCACATCTCCAACATTTGGGCTGCAAGTTAGGATACATACAAGACAACTTTTGGGGATCCAAATGCCACCTATAAAACATTTTATAAAAATTTTCTCTCAAATTTTGATCTTGAGTAAATTTTACATTTCTAACCCAAATTGTCTCCCATGTGTCCAATAGAATCGGCTCTTGAATATTTTGTGCCCATTTTACCATACAATCTTTAACTAATTCTATTTCAGAGTCCAATTCTATTAAAACATTATAAATTCTCTTTATGTATTTTTCTTCTGGCTTTTAAGCCCCACCGCTCCACACACACACACAGGGAAGCATGCCAGATCTGGGGTCTTTGGTTATTCGGGTTTTCTTCCGCGTAAAATTGGAAATGTCTTGGCGATGTTTCGATGAAGTCCCATTCGTCATCTTCAGGCTGGTGTTTTCGGCTTCATGCTTCTAGGAGCAATGATCACACATTGCTCCTAGAAGCACGAAACCGAAAACACCAGCCTGAAGATGACGAATGAGACTTCGTCGAAACGTCACCAAGACACTTCCAATTTTACGCAGGAGAAAACCCGAATAACCAAAGACCTACATACAAACACCCGCGAAAACCTCAGAATATATATATATATATATGTGTGTGTGTGTGTGAGTGTGTGTGTGTGTATTTTCGTATATATTACTTTTATCTAAGCCTTTTCAGCAATGTTCCAACCCCGCATAAGGAGTAATTCCTTCCTACATGGTGCCCACCCCGTCAGTTTGCAGGCTTCTTTAAAATCCTATGGAGAAAAACACCAGCCATAAAAAAAATACATGAATGAATGTGTTCTATGTATAGTTCCTTCGAACAGTAACTTCTCTATTTAAATCGTCTGACTTAAAACCACACCGTAAAGCAGCTTCTATTTATGAGCCCCCGCATTTCACCCAAAGCAACACTCGCTCTTTGTTATTAGCAAACAGCGATTACATAAACATTCATGGCCTTATTATGTGTCATTTTGCAATTGGAGTATATTTGCAAAGCAAGAGAGGAATTCGCTCTAGGGAAAGTCTGAAACACACCAGGCCATGAAATTTATTTATAGGATAAAGGTAATGGATCTAGCAAGTAAGGTGATCTCTCTTTTTTTTTAACATTACAATCCAATCCAATGGATTGATTTTTTTTTTAATATTTTATTTTTAACCAACAAAACAAAACAAAGCAAAACATAACACACATACACACACAGTATGTACTCATCCTCCTTTTTTAAACAGCGATTACATAACGGTAATCTTCTATTATTTACATTTCCCCCCTTATTCTTCTTTAGAATATTTGTCCTTATTGCCCCATTGTTTCTTATTTACATTTTTCTTCCTTCATACGCTACTTCTTACTAAGAATAATTCATATTATTATTATTATACATTATTATACACATATTTTCACTTTTGACCTTTCCATATTTATTCTCCTCTATTATTTCTAGTCTCCAACCAGTCATACCACTTGTTCCATGTTATATAGTGCTCTGTGTCTTCCTTTTCTTTTATCTCTTTTGTTCATTTGTCCATCTCAGCACAGTCCAGGATTTTTCTTATCACTTCTTCCTCTGATGGTATATTCTCATTTTTCGAGCACTGTGCATATGCTATTCTTGCCGCCGTTATTATATATAAAATTAAGTACCATATTTCTTTACTATATTTTCTGTTTAAAATACCCAACAAAAAGATCTCTGGTTTCCAGTCTACGGGTTGGTCTATTATTTCTTCGATCCATTTTCTTATTGTAGTCCAGTATTTTTTCGCAACTGGGCATGTCCACCATAAATGATAATATGTTCCATGGATTGATTTTATTTGTTACATTTCCGTAGCCTTTTAAACGCTGTGATTTTCAAATTCCTTTTTGGTTTATTAAATGTAGAGGCCATCCAACTTCACAAGAATCTGGGCTATTGACAGCAGCAAAAGAATAAACAAACAAACAAACAGAGGTTTTTCTATGCCTAGAAGAAGACAAAAACATTCCTAGATAACATTTAACTTTTTTAACAAGTTTTTTAAAATAGGCCGGGAGGCATAAAGGCAGGAGAGGCGCGCACAGACAGTTCCAGAAATAGACTCAGCATTAAGAACAGGGATTATCACATTTTTAAATAGAAGGTTTGCTTTTACAAATGCAGTTTTTTTTTCCTTCTCCTTCCTTACCCATCAGAGAAGAATAAGTGCAGCATTGATTCAAGCTGAGCTCCTGCTTTTCAGCGTTACTCAAATTAACCGCAGTGAAGAACAGTAAGTTCAATTGATATAATTGGCGGGGTTTCTTTTATTGTTGGTCCATTAAGCTCAATTTTCTTCTGTAGTTTCTAATGAACTGATGGGGTTTCCCCAAACACACACACACACTTAGCTAAAGATACTACAGTAATTTTCTCCAGAAATCAGACGTTCCCTGACCTGGCTGGCTTTTTTTTGCAAATCCTTAAAGAGCTGGTTTTGCCATGAAGCCTGAAGCTGTCTATGATGGCTTTTCCTGGTTGCATTTATTGAACATTAACTGATCAAAGAGGAAATGGGAAAGTTAATTGCATTTTTCTGCACCAAGTCAATGGATTCTGCCTGCTCTGATTTGTAATCTGCTTTCTTCTCAGTAAAGTATATTGGGGGAGGGGGGGGAAATGGACCAGGATGAGCAGGAAAGGGAAAAAGGATTATTTTCTTTCTCTCTGCTGCTGAAAGTAATTCAGTGAATTACAAAGGTGCTTTTTTTTTTCAGGAGGCAACTGGACTTTCTTTGTTTTTCTTTGAAGACGTTTTGCTCCTCATCCA